CTCTGTGCCTCAGTTTCTCCATCTGGAAAGAGGGTACACTGTAGTCCACCAAGAATGGTAGGTGAGGAGAGACTAATAAAGCGGAGGTGCTTAAGCCCTTCAAATCAGCAACTTCCCTGCTTTAAGCCACTGCCTAGCACGGTGTTCGCTCGGAGCAGAGACTCTGGGTCAAACAGAGTGCGACTGAGCGGCTGAGTTCACCTAAGACTGTCATAAAGATCAACAGTATGTGCGGCGCTGTGCTAAGTACTTGGTATGTAAGTGCTCAGGAAGTGCTGGCTGTTGCCGCTGAGTGTGCTGGTATGGCGGTTAACACAGAACCACCACCCCCAGAGTGCGTGCCGTGATGGGACACGCAGGTCCCCCTTCAGGATCCACTGGGAGCGCTGCCAGAGGATGGCCCCAGTGGTCTGGCCCCTCCAGGATTTCCTCTGTGTAAGCCCAAGGTCACAGCTGCACCCCAGGGTGGTGTGCGTCCAATGACTGATCAACATAGGGGAGTAAAGGCTGATGCTCTCCCCCAACTGGGGGCAGCCCCATCTTCGGAATTCCTCAGGGCACCACAGGTGGCCTTCGCCCTCTGCCCACTCCTCCTCAGGGACACTGCTACATGCTATTCCTCAGCTCAGGGGACCCAACCTACATGCTCACCTCTTTTCTCTAGTTACAAAAACAAAAGCAGAAAAAGGCATTAATCTTGGACACTCTCAGATCCTGGAGCTCACTGACCCCGGCTCCCGTGTTTTCCAGAACAGGAGCCTGAGGTGTTCGGAGAAGCTAGGGAAAGCATCGCCCGCCAAACATCAAGGGGCAGCGAAGCTCAATGAGTGTCCCTTTGAGGAGAAAGATGGGAAGACCACACATGTTCTTCTGCTTGCGGGACGGAGGTCACACATCCTGGGAGGGCTCACTGTCTCCTGTCCTCTGAATCCTTGCCCACGGTGTCAGCAAGTCCAAGTGCCAATGTAATATGGGAAGAGATACAGGCTAGCGCTTCTGGGAACAGGAGCAAACTGCTGTGCAGGTGTAACTGAGTGCCACCCGTGTCCCTGAAGGACCAAGAGGAAACAGAAGCAGGGGGTGGCCACCGTGGGGCCAATAGTGGAAGGAGATTCTGCCCTGACCTCTGTCTCGTCATGGCAAGTGCGGCCTGCGTGGTGTCCCTGAGCCTGGCTGACTGGATCTTCACGAGGCGGGCCCCGTCCTGTGCCGTTTTCCCTGCCCCGCAGCTGCCACAGCTCCCGGGCCTCACAGGTGGTTTTCAAAGTGCCTGGGGGTAAGGACGAGGCCAGGCCCTGGGCTGCCCGGCGGGCCCAGGGCCGAAGCCTGAGGAGTGCCCAGCAAGTGCTGTGACGAGGCGGAGAGGTTAATGGCCAGGGCTCCTTCAGAAGCAAGCTAGCGGCGGTGCCAGCCGAGAGGTGTCCTCAGCTTCTGCTACTGCAGCATTTTCCTCTTGATAAGATAATGGAAAACAGGAAGCTGAGGAGGAGAAGGGAAGGTTGGGGCAAGGTGGCTCAGGAGGATTTTATTTTCTTGTGCTTATCACCTGATTCCAAACGCACACGCCATCAGGCCAGGGACGTGGGGCCCACTTGCTCCACATATGTGATGTGTGCTTCTGTTGTGATAGGTTCTTTTATAAAAAAAATTTCTTTCCTCCCCTAACTGCTCTGAGTCACTGAAGTATTACCCCAGCTTTAGCACCCAGTTCCAAGTGAAATTTTCCCTCAGCTGGTGAGAGGGGCTGGGAAACGTGTACGGGCCAAAGCTCCCACCTGCACAGAAGAAACACTGGGGAGTGGGTTTCTGCTTGGGAGGAAAGGGAGGAAAGGGAGGAAAGGGAGGGCATGTTTTCCTCCTGTTGAAACATCTAGATACCCCTCCCTTCCTGCCTCTCTCCTCCCGCCCCAGCAGCACCAGGCTGGACCCCCACTGGCCGCACCCACTTGGGCCACTTCGTGGGTGGCGGCCTGTCATCTTGTTCTGGCTCCATAAATCACGTAAGGGGTCTTGCATCTACCACAGAAATCTGAAACTCTGGCAGGGCAGGGGGGCGGCCAGGCAGGCCCCGCTTGGCTGAGGCGGGGCCATGCATGCCCTGGGGCTTCTGCCCACCGCCTGCCCGCCACGCCCACCAGCAGGCCTGGCTTGGGAGAGTGAGTGAGGACAACCCTGCAGCTGCTCGGTGCTGGGCGGTGGCATGGAGCTCCCTGCACCCCACAACAGGAAACGCTTCCCTCACGCAGTCACAGAGGGACCGCCACCCCATCCACCTCTGCACCCAGCACCTCCGGAAAGAGGGAAGAGGCTCCACGCACAGCAGGAGGCAACTGGGTCAGAAATAAGGGAGAACCTTTCCCGGCACTAGGGAGCCGGGTATCCTGAGTGTGAATCCACCTCTGCCGGTTACTAGATACTAAGAGTCAGTGGCCCTCTCAGGTCCCTTAGGCGACCGACCTCTTTCCCTGCAGAGCTGTGAGGGTTAAATGACATGATTTATCATCTCCTCCAGCCCAGGGCCTGACACAAAGCAGGAGATTAAAAATACCTTTTCATTCATTGGCATTCAAAAAAGAATGACAACAATTCTGCCTAGGAGGCTCTGGGGAACCTTCCAGGATTACAAATTCTAACACTGAACACTAGAGTAGTGCCATGTTCAGATGGGCCCTGAAAATAGGCACATGGAAACATTCTTAACAAACCCGTTCCCAGGTGGAGACGATGGAGAAAGAGCAGAATTTGAAATCGGCGGGCCTCGGTTTGAGTACCTGCTCTGACCTTGGGTATAGTGGTTACACCCTCTGAGCTTAGCTTATCTCGTCGACAAAATGGAGATGGAGATGATGATGATGATGATGATGATGATGATGATGATGATGATGATGTAATAAGAAGAACTAATATTTAAGGACAGTTGATGATAAACAATCTTATAGGAAGTATTGGGTTGGCCAAAAATTTCATCTGGCTTTTTTCTGTAAGATGGTTCTAGTAGCGCTTAGTTGTCACTGACTCCCTTTGAAACCATTTTGTCAGACTGCGTTGTGACAGCTGTCATGTTGGTACGCATTAAAAAAAGAACTTACCAAAACTGGTGAACTTTTGTGCAGCCATTTTAATATTGAAAATGGAAGAAAATATACAATATTTTTGTTGTATTATGCTTATTTCAAGAAAGCATAGTAGTATGCTTCAGTATTTTAAAAATGCAAATTAAACACAAAAAAAGATTTGTGCAGTGTATGGAGAAGGTGCTGTGACTGATCGAACGTGTTAGAACTGGTTTATGAAGTTTCTTAGTACTACTGACATTTTGGCCAAATCTTTGCTGTGGGGCCGCCTTATGCATTGGAAGAGGTTTAGCAGTACCTCTGGCCTCCACCCACGAGAAGCCGAGAGTGGGAGACAGGCAACATGCTCAAAATATCCAAACCAATAAAGTATTGGTGAAAATGAAAAATGTGTCTTTTAAAAACTAAACAGACTTTTTGGCCAACACAACCCTATTATCATCCCCGTATTACAGATGACTAGACTGAGGTATGAAGAAGTTAAGTGATTTCCCCACAGTTACAACAACCCTCCTGAGGCTGCTGTGACGATGTAATGAGACAATGACACAGAGGCCATAAAGACAGAGGCAACGTGGGCGATGATTCAGGAAAACTGAACTGCTCAGCGCTGTCCCTCTCTGGGCTCTCACTCCTGGAATGCAGGACAAAGGCAGCGGTTTCACACCTGTAAGCTCTTCTTTTCTCCCCTTGCCTCACCTTACCCTTCACCCTCCACCCCCTCCCCAGCCCTTCTCAACATACGCGCCATCGACACCCCAGTTTTCTGCCCAGTTTTCCATCTTCCCTTTTGAGGACGCTGTAAATGATGCACGAGAAGCCGACTACCAGGTACACTCAGGACACCCCCTCCCTCTCCCACCCCGCCAGCATGTTTCCCACCCTTTCCTCTCTTTCACTCAGCCTGCCTGCTCCGAACAGGAGACAGACCGTCAGCGCTGGGTAACTGCTTCTAATCACAGGTGACAGCAAGAATGTAAACAACACAAGAAACATCTAAATGCAATCCAAGTGGCAAGGAAACACCGCTCACGAAGGCTCCTCTCAGGGACACTGTTCCCCGCCGCGCCGACTTCGGCAGCCCTGCTCATCAAGGCTTTGTCCAGTAATGCCTGTTAATAGGAACACTGGAAACCGGGAGCTCCAGGAGAACAGGCACCTCTGACCCTTCCGCCTCTGGGCAGATTTTCTAGAACAATTTTCTGTTTAAAGCAATAATTTTAACGTGCTCTTGGGGGTGGGAGGGGCGCGGCTGGTGGGGGAAATGGAGGTTAGAGACCCCTCTGAGAATCTGTTCAAAGATAGGGATGCTCACCCAAGAAAAACGCAAACATAAAACATTGTGTGGGTGTCATTTCAAGGGTTCACAGACCCCAAATTGAGACCCATTTTCTAAGATACGGAAGGGACAGGAGACCACAGAAAAGACGCAAGAGCAGACGCACTCGAAACATTCTAGAGGCACAAAAGGACATTTCCTAGTCTGTGATGGCCTCGCGGTCCTGTAAACCTACGCGGCTTTTCTTTCTCTTGCTTTTGGCTCTTTAGATTGACAGTGTGCTTCTAAACCACCTCCTTCAATGCAAATTGGAAATTCAATTGAGTAATTACTGTGAATAATTTCTGCTTGGATCACTTAATGCTGAGGTTTACCAAGGGCTAAAAAAGCCAGGATTAGAAAGGTATGTCTGAACTGTTTTGGGTGTGGCTGCATAATTCAATGATAGTTCCCAAGCCAAGAGGAAATGGTTTTTCGAACTGTTCAGTAACTGGATTCTTTACGCTATTGTGGCCCTCCATTAACACACAGCTTCAACAGCAGGTTAACTCTCCCTGCTTGATTTTGGGATATTCACTGCATCTGACGTCTGTGGGATTGGGGTCAGAAGAGGTGGAGGGATGACCTTTGTAAACTGGGGTTCTTACCTCTGTGCCTGTTGGTGGTCTTATCAAACATCAGCATTGCATCCTCCACCTGCAAAACAAATACAAAATGGAGTCTGCTTTAGGAATACACAAAAAATTATATAGGGGAGGGTTCCATTATAGAAGCCACAGTCACTCATTAAACACTATTTGAAAATACAAAAACCTGGGGGAAAAAAATCACTTGTCTTTTGGTCTTCTCATCTGGCACAACCACAGGTAATATCTGGTGTATTTATTTCCCACTAGTTTTTGTTGGTTTGTTTTTTTAAAAAATCTATCCCTATTTTAATATAGTTTCAATCATATTGTATATGGAATCTTCCCTTGTTTATTTTTACATATAACAGTACAATATTGCAAACAACTCCTGGATTACTACATTATCTTTTTCCCCCAGTTTTTTATTGTTATGGTAAAATACACATAACATAAAAACTGCCATCCTACCCATTTTTAAGTGTGCAGTTCAGTGGTATTAAATACATCTACAACGTTGTGCAACCATCACCGCCATCTGTCCCATCCACGGTCAGAACCCCTTCATCCTGCAACACTGAAACTCTACACCCGTTAAACGACAACTCCCCATTCCCTTCATCCCCTTGGCTGCTGACAACCACCATCCTACTTTCCGTAATATAACTGTGACTACTCTAAGTATTGTACCTCACGTAAGTAGAATCATATGGTATTTGTCTTTTTGTGCCTGGCTTATTCCACTTTGCATGACGTCCTCAAAGTTCACCCATATTCCATTGTACGTATATACCACATTTTGCTTATTATTTATCCATCGATGAAAACTAGGTTTTGGCTATTGTAAATAAGCCTGCTGTGAACAGGGGAGTACAAATATCTCTTCAAGTCCCTGTTTCCAACTCTTTTATGTGTATACCCAGAAGTGAAATTGCTCGATGAGATGGTAAATCTATTTTTTAAAAAAATTTTTTGGGAGCCACCATACTGTTTCCACAGCAGCTGCACCATTTTACATTTCCACTGACAGGGCACAAGGGGTCCAATTTCTCCACATCCTGGCCAACACTTCTTCTTTTTTTTTTTTTGATAGTCACTCTAATGGGGTGAGGTATTATGAATACTATCTTGAATGCTGTATAATATTTTATGGGCTGAGAAGCTATAGCTTACTTGATTATCTTTCTGATGACTATTTAAATTGTTTCCAGTTATAAACAATGGAACTTTAACATTTTGATTGCTATAGGCTGAATTGTGCCCCCCTATTCATATATTGAGGTCCTAACCCCCTCTTACCCCACACCTCAGAACATGACTATATGTGAAGACAGGGTCTTTAAAGAGGTAATTAAGTTAAAATGAGGTAAATTAGGGTGAGCTTGGATCCAGTACCACTGGTATCCTTTTAAGAAGAGAAAATCTGGGCACAGGTAGAGAGTGAAGACACAGCGAGAAGGTGGCTATCTGCAAACCAAGGAGAGGCCTCCAAAGAAGCCAACCCTGCCTAGATCTGAGACCACTGGCCCCCAGAACTGTGAGAAAAATGAACTCCTGTTGTTTAAGCCGCCCAGTCTGTGGTACTTTGTTATGGCAGCCCCAGCAGACAAATACATTGATGCTAGAACCTTTTTCAAAAACATCATCGCAGAGAAGAAAATGCCCAAGGATCCTCTGTCTCTTCCTAGTCCCGTCCTCAGTCCTCCTATGAACCTGCAACCCTTCTGGACATTTCTAGCAATAAAATTTCAGGGTTTACACTCAATTCCCATGTAGAGCTTTGAATTCCACTTTTAAAAACTTATGATCCAATCCTTTGTTTGTTCCACAAAATATACATCTTTAGTGTAGGTGATGTCCTAGCCGATTAAGCTACTCACCTGGGGACTGTACCTGGTTTGGCCAGGTGAGCAGCCTCTTTTCTTCATTCATTTTGTGCCCAAGGCGGGCAGTAAAAATAAAACCTCACCCACGTGGTTGCGGGTCGACAAAGCTGTTAGCCAGAAGGCTCTGTGCCTGAAGCAATTTTGGTGTGTGTATTGCTTAGAAAGGACTGAGCACTGTTCACTGGAGCTCAAAGAGGCACAAATGAGCTTGGGGGTCTGAGCTAAGCTGGCTGAGAAAAGAAATCATAGGTTATTCATTCCTCACTCCTCCCAGACTATAGTGTCCAATGGAGGGGAAGACACTGGGCGAAGCGATAAAACCAGGTTTAAAATGGTGCCTCCAGACAAATCAAATCCATTTGTCCAGACACTATCAAATATAATAGGGGAAAAAGCAAAGTAAAGGTAAGAATGGAAGAGGGGGGTAGGCAAGCCGGACACAAACCTTGGAGGGGCTGGCCTCACTTAAAAATCTCTTCTGGAGTCAGGGCCCCATTTTGTTGCTAAGCAACCGAGCCTGAGCAAACAGGCTCCTGGGGCCTTCCCCTTCTGGTCCCCATTTCTGAAGTCAGTTACTGGGAGGAAAATGGCCTTGCATGGTGACTGCTCCTCCAGCAGGAAGCTGCCCTCTCTCTCCCGGGCATCAGGCTGACAGGAGTAGGAGATGCTAGTTTGGAGGACAGGGTGCCTTCAGCAGACCCCTCCAGGGCCAGAGGCTTGATGAGTACCCCCGCACCTGCTGAGGCCGTACACAACACAGCGTCTGCCTCCCCAGCGCCACTCAAGCAAAACCACCAGAAGACCAACTGGTTTGTTTGTACACAGAGTAGTCACACTTGAGCATATGGTGTTGCAGATTCAGACCCTGGGCCTCAATTAGAATTCCAATGCCTGGGGTGCAGGTGGGGGGGATGGGGGAGGCCTGCTGGGTATCACGCAGGTAAATGTGACATCTGTTTCGCACCCATCTCCATATTTTCTAAGATGTTTGCCAAGTCCTTATTTTGAGCTAAAGATGTCTAACAGTAAGGAAAACAGCCTTCCTTCTGTGCGGGCCATGTTTTGGTACTGAAACTCAGATTCCCCTTAGGAAATAAATATTTTGAATTTTTAAAATACTGTATTTTCAAACCCCTTTTTCAACAGTGCATGATTGGCCCCCTCCTTTTCTTCATGAGTCTGGGCATTTTCTGACGCTGCCCTCCCACCATTTGCTCCACCCTGGTGAGCAAGGGGAAGGAGCTGTGTATATTTTTTTAGGGCAACCATTGTTGGAAAGAATAGAGCTCTTTCCTCTATAGTCCAGTTGTACAATGGGACTCGCAAAGACCCCCTGAATAGATAAAGTGTCAGGGCGAAAGAAAAATTCTATTAACACTTTACAAAATAAAACATCTAAGAAGTAGCTAGAGAAGAAAAAGAAAGGGACAAAATCAATCTGGATAAGTCCTGGTGCTTGGGGGGGGGATAAAACTTCTCGGTGATTGCAAAACACATTAATTCAGAGGAGCCACCAATGCGATGGAAATCTGGCAGAACAGCAAGAGCTGAAACTGGAAGAATCTGAATATACAAAGACTGAATAGAATGAAAAACATGGCCTCGCATGCAGGCTGTTTCTCACGGTTCTGTGTGAACCAAACAGAAGTGGCTTGTGTGAGTCTTCGTCATGAAGAAAAGAGGGGCCACAGTCAAGGTAACCGGTATCTACCCTGGGAGCCAGCAAACCGATACCTCTGTGTGTCTGTCTGGCGCCTTTGTCTTCCTGTCTGTCTCTCTCCCTCCCGCACATATATGCACATGCACATGCGTGTGCAAATGCACAAAGCCCAGGTGGATTAGTTGACTGCGCAGTCACCAATGCTGGCACGCAGGCCAGGCCTCACTTTGGTGCTGGAAGGACGCAGAGGCTTGCAGGGCTGGGCACAGGTTCTTCTGACCTCTAGCCACTATCCCTGAACCTTCGCCAAATGTGTCCTCAAGGGACACCACCCTGCCTCTCAAGACTAGTACTGGTATTCATTTTGGGTTGAGAGTGCCCTTGCCTGCCTCGCAGATTTCTTTGTACCAAAGGAGGGGGCCCGCAGGCCCCGTGGTCCTGGGGATCCCAGGAGGGAGCGAGATGGAGAGGAGGTGTCTGAACCTCAGAATTCTTTCTCCCACATCCTGGCACACCTGTAGTCTGTTTTGAGAGAAGAAACTTGTTTTAACCTTGAGATGTGCCTTCTAACAACATAAGACAGGCTGAAAACACAGCTCTAACATTCTTGGCGGTATATCTATGTGAACGACAAAGCAGGATAAAGTTAACTTTCATGTCAGTTGGTTGGGGACATCCTATCCTGGTATTAACGCTAGAGTGTCCTGAACATGTATTTCTGCCTATCACAAGGTTGAGACTACACTGTATCATCCTGAGAGGCATGTACCACGCACACACCAGCCAGGAGGGTCAACAGCGGGAGCTATGATGTTAGCTCTGTGGCCATGGGGTTTGGGGCAGGGCTTCTCAAACTTCACCCACATCAGAATTACCTGGAGGGCCTGTTAAAACACAGACCCCCAGAGTGTCTGATTCAGTAGCATCTGTATTTCTAACAAGCTACAGGGTAGTGCTGATGAAGCTCCTGGCCCGTGGACCCCACTTTCCAGGTGCTGCTCTAAGGGGATGAGGAAGCAACAAGAGGAAAGGTCAAAGGCACTGGGCAGAGCTGCTTTTTCCTCTTAATATACGCTCAGCGCTCAATACAGGGGACAAATTTCTCTTCCAGGAGCAACTGATACACCTCAGTTTGGCAACAGCTCTCCCCTCTCTGTTCCCCATCTCTTGGATGTTTATATTCTAGGATCCTGATAATGGTGACAGTAAACTATGATAGAAAAGAAGACAAGAAGAGGGACTTCTTTGTGACAACCAAGCTGTCCCTGCACCCGATGCAGGAAAAATTCAGGCTCCGCCAGGATCCTTCTAACAGAATAAACCAGACAACATCTAGTCTACAATCACTCGGCCACCTCAGTTGCGATTAGAAAACCTAGCTGATGTTAACTTGACTTTCACGCAACATGTACCTATTAGGTGTTCACTATTTACAGAGAGCATCAGCCTAAGTACAAACAAGAGGCAAATCACAGAGGTCCCTGCAGAATGGTTGCTTGAACGGCCTCACACCCTTTGCCCTGT